TTTTTCTGTTTGGGTAAATGACCAGTTCAAAGAACGCTTATTATCACAATCAATATTTTCTTCAATTAAAAGCCTTTGCTCAACGCTTCATTGTCAACGATGGCGCCGTTCTATAGCCTTAAATAATAACGAAGTCGGTGAGCACCTTTGCTTGTTTACTGGTGGTCGAACGCGGCCCTATATTAAATATACGTTAGATGCGTTCGCAATACTCCTTGGAGAATAATCCTTGCTGACTAATGACCTGGATGAAGCAAGACAGTATCGTTCCGGATGGTTCGAACAGGCGGTAAATCGGCGAAAATTAGCGGAAAATAACATTTTAGCTACCGAGCTGATTGGGTACTGCTCTGTATAGGCCGGATGTTTCATTACATCAACGCTATCTACGCTGCAGTGCCGGCAGCATTGATTTTTTTACTAGCTTTCGGTGACAGGTCGACGGTCTTTGTACTCGCTTTAGAGGAACTGATAGCGCACGAACGTCGATGGCTATTAGGACAGTGTCGTCCTGAGCAGGTGTTTAAGTAAAGCTTAACGAACACGATCAACTTGTTATCAACTATTAAATACGACGCATTTGACTAAGGTTAATGAGACCACCAGTGTATGATACGTATTTATTATATATATGTAGCTTTATTTAATTTAACAGTCGTGAAATGCTCGAACAACGAGAACGAAATTGCTTAATCACACACATAGATGACCTTAACGCGGGGAATTTTGGCTACTTCAAGTTAAAAAAAAAAGGCGTAACTACAAAAACACGTGAAAAATACCGCCAACAACGATTTAAGTGAGCCGAATATAATGTTGAAGTATAGAAAACAAGTACCAAAGGCAGTTTCAAGTAGACTCATGTGCTGTACTATTCAATGTTGGTAATTCATCATTGTAATCAGGCCCACAAGAACGATGATGTACACGTACGTGACTATTTAATGTTTGGAAGAATGAATTCTAATGATTGGTGTGGTCTCCTCTGTGACGTCTAATCTTTGAGTTCCTACATAGCTTGCGAGCCAAACTGGCTTCTGCTTGCGATGAACAATAGCTGTCGACTTTTGCATCAAGACCTCTGCTACAAGTAGGCTAGAAGATTGTAGTTTTTTGTACGCACACTACAACAACTGAAGAGCTATTGAAGGGTCTTGCGCGTTGTAAGTACATAAGTGTACCTGGTTGCCTGGCAATAGCGGGCTCGTCCCGCAGAGTGCGGTTTATTTTTCAGACAACGCTGCAAGAGTGACACAGCGTTCGCTTCATCGTGCTTATATAACGCGTTACTTCTTCATGGATTCTGTGAGCTAAAATCGAAGAAACAACGAGGTGACAAAGGGTTTATGCAACCTACAGGGTGATTCTTCCATAATAAGATGACCATTTAACATAATTCCATAGTTGCGCTTAGAACTACCGATCGCTGTTGAGGGATCGCTTGGGAGTTCGCAAACGAGGCTATGAATTAAGGTTGATTTAGGCATTAGCTGGTGACGAAACGATTGGTGATACGCACGACACATTTGCTAGTCTGAAGGACTAGCGAACCGTCCCTGCATATTTAGCAGACGACTAACACGCTCTGCGTCTGAACGTATTCTATATTGATACATACCGATTTGATGCATGTTCTGTGTCAGGTGGGAAATCAAGTGGAGCTAAGGGAAAAGCTCTTTGAACAAAAGGGTACTTTAGCTTCTTTCAAATGTGTTCGTACGCATCCGTTTCAACCATAACTACTAGATTTTCATAACTGCTGAGCCTATGGATCTTTCGCTGGCAAGTAGGCGCGTTTTGACTGCTATAGGTGAGTGCTACGGTGAGCTCCGCCTCCTGTCGCAATGTATCCCGCTAGACATGCGACATTCGTCGTATCCAATGTAAACGTTCCCCGATATTGACCGCTGAATCATTATCTATCGCGCACTCTCTTAGCCAAGAATTGGCTAAACCCGGCACCTGGCGATGACAGATGGGTAATATTTCACAGCGAGGACTGCACGTATCGTACAGTTGCATCCGTGAATGATTCAAAGTTATCTGTTTAATGTAGGTGTCTATAAAAGTGCTGTTGGATATGCATTGTGTCGGTATGGCCGATCGTTGGTAGCCGTCAACGGCTCCCTTTCAACGGAAGCATGATGTATGCACGCTTAGATGACTATAAAAATGATCGAATGTGGCAATCGCTTAGTATTCCTTCATTGTGGTCACCTAAGGTTATAGATAAATATTATTTATCTATCTTAATCTACTCTATCCTATCATATCTACTTGTGCATCTGCTTGATGCAACACTGTTTGGTGGCTTGCAGAAACAGATTCAGGACACATGAATAGTCAGGTGCTAAAAATAATTCTCCATTTTCCACATGCGTATTTTAGGTTATACTCTTATAGAGAACTTGCTCTAGTCGGCTAGCACTTGCTTGCTTCTATGTTATGCGGGGAACAGTGTTGTTTACTGCAGCGTCACAGTACCGAAGGGTTTGGCAGCGACGATTAGCGGCGATTTTTACGGAAGTTCCGCCGACGAGCTGACTTAGTGGAGCAAGCAAGAGTCGATGACAAACAAAAACCGCAGTTATCACACAGACGCTACCGGGTATCGTCGATAGCTATAGCGAAATTCCCTACTTTGAGCCCGTTAAGACAGGCAACTCTGGATGTTGTCTTTCGGGACCATAAAAGAACAAAGAGGCTAACTTGCGATAAAAGCTAAATGCCGTTTCCCAACCAAGGCCGCATTGGTCCTTGAGCCTATTACAGCAAAGAAATCCACCACGAAACGAGGCTGCGTTTAATGAACGCCGAAAGCCACTGCGCCTTTTGTTTTCTCAAGGGACACAACGATAATTGCAATTACCGCAACACGTTATGAACGACTCATTGGCGAGTACGGAGCTTCAACGGTGTCGTAGCAGATACGTTTGATTAACTAGACTCAAGGCAAAGCTACCTGTTAGGCGTAAGACAACCGAAAGAGCAAACAGCCGGTGTGATTCATTTATCCGAATTACAATGATGTCTCCTACAGTGGGTTTTCAGTCATGAACCTGCAACTTTCATTGACCCGGCTATATTGACCCGAAATGTATGATTTCGGTTAACCCATTCCCGTTCCATGTACGTAGTATATTCAGTTCAGCAGCTCGATTCAAACAAAATGATATCATATCAAAAATAGGGCATATTCAAATACTCAAAATACTTGACCACTGTGCATCTTTTGAAGGAAAAAAAGTTACTAGCGATTGCGTACGAGCGTCTTTACGCAGTTTGTTTTATTCGGAGATGGTATGTCAGCTAGGTTGTATTGCCGTGTTTGATGTACCCTATCTCTAGCCTGTTCTCAACGATATCCAACTGGCACGTCCTGCAATTGTATTACAATAGGGAAGATCAAAAAGAACTTTGTCAAAGAGCAGTCAGTTTCGTCAATCCATTGATTCACCCATCCATCAAATGTCCTATTCAGAACACTGTCGGAAAAAAACCAACGTGACAATTTTTGTCCCGTTCGGGCTTTGCCGTGTTCCCTTCACAATTACGTTCAGGTGGGTCAGTTACGTTCCCTGACTCTAGAGGACTCCCACAATGGTATTTCCATCGCATACGTTCCAGTGGGTCTATAAGCGTTCGGTTAACAGTCGTCACTGTGAGCCAATGAAGGCCGAACGTCAGATAGGGCGAAGACCGTAGGCCGGTGCGGCGACGAGGCCTCTAACGGCCAGGTACCCGAGAACTCAGAGAAAACCATTAGAATGCTGTCATCCTGTTGCCGTTCTTGTTGTTTCTCAGATACGGTTACTGTTGTGCTTCGCTGTGTGTCTGATTTTCCGAGTAGTTCTAGCGTCGAAGTGCAGCGAGTTCAGCTATGCGACAGTGGCATATTTGTCAAACAACGAATTAAAGCTGAGAATCTTAAAACACTCGGATTACGCTCATACCAGACCTTCTCGTTTTAACCCGTTCGCTTGTGGTCTGAGCGTCATCATCATGGTCGAGTGAACCCGTCGACCACCAACGTCAACATAGAAACAATACGAATGCCCTGCGTTCAAGATGCGTTCACTGGGGATTTCATTGAGTGTTGTCGAATTGTCAGTGTGCTCTCCATTTATGTGTTTGTAACAAATATCAACCCTAAAACAATCGTTTTGATACATGTATACATGTATTCGAGCCGCAATAAAGGGCGATTATTTATCAAGTGTTCAAACCCATTTTAATTAGGTAACCCCATTTTGTAAGGACGTAAGTACGTAGGACCCGCATAAATGATGCATTCGCATATTGATAATATACATACAATAATACTAAGATAGATAAAATATTCGTTGCATGAAGATTACTCATTCCCTACCTGTAGATCGAAGTACATGAACCTATACTCGTTCATTTTCGTAGGACCGATGTGAAAACGTAAATCTCGCACGGCTGTAACAATTCGGTATAATGACGATCCACTTTTTTACACTGTAAATTTTCGAATAGAGCTTTACGTAGAGACGGATCGACTTAATTTTAATAGTACGACCAATATTGTATAGAAAAATTTAATAACAGGTGCGCCGGCCGGCCGGCTGGCGATAAACAGTGGCCTTATCAAACGTTCTTTAAAAGAGAGTTCAACGTATTTTTCCACCCGTAAACAAACGTGAAGTCGATCTCAGTGATTCGAGTAAATCAACAAATGAAAGCACCTTATTATTATTATTATTATTAGCAGTCTTTAGTACAAATTCGCATTGACCCGATAGAAATTTCTCCTTATAGAACCTCAGCATCGGATCCGAGTCAGTCGTACCATTCAACAGAAGCGATTCGCAGTCTCTCGTGTGCGACGAATATACGTTCGTAAAGTTGTTTGCGCAGTAAACGGCATACGAGTGAAAAGTTTATTGTGTATTTATTGTGTACTGCGAACATCCGGCGTAACGGCGTCAACTCCGTTAAATGAGTAGTAAATGAACGTTTTTTTCTTGTTATTCTAGATTTCTCGGCCTGCGTTGTTTCACATGTAGCACTGACAGCCATTACCGCCCCGTCGAAGTGACGTTTGCGCTTAGCTGACCTGCAAGACGCATCGTGCATCCATGTAAATTTGCCCTCGAGGAACGTGGCCTAGTATCCTGCCCCGCTATTGTTACGGTTATAGCTAGTATCGCTGCCACTACTTCGAACGACATCTGCTGTTGCCGCCCCTGACGATTTTGGTGTTTATTTTCGCCTGTGTCTGCGTTAATATCTGGTCGTATGTGTGTATGGGTAAGCACAACCGTTACAGACGTTTAATCTGTTACATCTTTATCTACTGGTAAGGCTGCTGCTGACACAACGATGTAACAGCTGCTACTACTCCGCGTTATGCCAGAGCAGGAAAAGGGGGCGATCACAAACAAACAAGCGATTCGTATGGCGAGAGAGACTCAGACATATTGTCTGCACCGGATAAACTAGCTGGCAGGCAGGCAGGCAGGCGAAAAAGTATATTGCCACCCTATAATGAATACAGAACGTTCTCCAAGGCCGTCGAATCTACAAGAGGCGGGAAAGATTTCCAAAACACGTTATGAACGCCTTTTGCGCTCATCCCCATTGTTGTATGTGGCCATGCCGAACAATAACTGGACTTTTCAAACAAATGAAGTAAGAGCAGGTAAGTTTTCTCACTACTGCATCTAAAGGGTACGGAAGTGTTGCGGAAACTTTGGCCCCCATTGACGGTAGTCAAAACGCGAGCGCCCTGACCATATATCCCTTGGTGAAGGCCAAAAAAACACACACGCGAGTCGATACGACGTCAAACATCAATCCAGCGAACAGTCGCAGATGCGTAAAATGTGAGAAAAAAAGCTGGTGTTTTCTATGCCCGTGTGTATTGGGTAGACGGAAGTAATCTTTATATTTCCGTTTATGATATGATTGGAAATCCGCAGCTAGCTCGACAATAGACCTGAGTTATTTAACCATGCTAAGCAATGTGTCTCTGTGCAAGGAGAACGTACCGGTCATCTGCACTTCTACAAAGTGCAGATGACCGGTACGTACAGTGCCATGGACTAATGCTTTCGCCTATTTTACTAGAAGTACTATTATGTAGTAATTACCTTTGCCATAATTAATTAAGCATTGCTTTGTTGTTCTCTCTCTGACGGTCCGAAGTGACATCATCTTCCTCTATATCAACGGTGTTGATATCTGTGCTAGTGGCCGCGATGATTCAGCATACTAACGCATGCAAACTTCCTATCATCAAAGAAAATCGCCAGAAATTGAAAAAAAAATTCAGAAGGCGGAAAATGAATACCGTGCCACAATACGAGAAACGGTAATTAAATCTTATAGCTAAACATCTACTGATATTTTCTAGATAACATGTGATACGCTTAACTGGTTTAGTGGATGCGGAGTCTGAAATGGGCCGTCTACCACTTTGGTTGGCCACGTCACGGAAGTCAGCGCCGAAGGATAGAACCAGTGACTAAACGTCCCTACGTCCTCGTGTATCACTTTCGATTATAATATTCAATTAACAAAATAGAATCGAAAGTCTGAACAGTCAGCCATTCAAGCAATGTTCGGTGATGGTTCGCAGGTCGACAGGTGGCAGTACAAGCTCAAAATGTCACGTGGTCGTATAGTCACGCGATACGAGGTGCATCCACAGTCGCATAGGCCCCGACCATGTCACCTTAATGCTTGACCTAACCTGACGGCAGAACGATCATGTGAATCGGCACACTTTTTTCTAGCCGGAAGAAACCTCTTGATTGACGTAAAGTTATGTAAATGCATAGTAGTTATTGTAACAATTGTTAAGCGCATTTGTGAGTGTCCCTCATAACCAAACCGCCATTCGCTCACCGCACACAGTTTTATGTCCCTTAAGACCCCTTCCCTTCAGACCCTGTGTCCGTACTAAAGTCACTATGCATAGTTTCGAACGATGACGCTCTGCTGCTCTTGTGGGAGCACCATAATCTCGTAATTGTCAGGCTTTCTGAGTAAACGGCTGTGACAAATGCTTATTACACCCCTGTATTGAAAAACATCCTCGCTGTAAGGACTGAAACAGATAAGTCTGAGGTGCAAAATCGGGGCTATTGGCGAATGCACTGAATTTGTCCATTCGGCTTATGTTAGGAAGGCAAATGTACAGGCCAGGGCTCAGTACGGCCAAAGTTGAATGCAAGCTCTTGCCAGTTCACTATTTACGGTCGATTTTTTCAATACCTTGTTGTAATCTTGTTAGCTATCGACAATACGTGTCTGGATCGATCGCTCTGCGAGCCTCTTGTCAATATGACGTCTAGTTACGTGTCAATCTTGCGTAACTTCCGGGACTGACTTCAATTCCTTCAATACACGTTGTGATTTCCAGAACGAGAGCGACAGAACTATCTTTGGGTAGGCCATTTGTTTCGACAATTTTCTTATGCATCTTGGCAGCGTTTGTGCCTTTATCATAATTGAATTTTCAAACTAGTCATTATTATATCACCGAAAAGTTCAAAAATGAATGTTTACAAAACATTTCACGCATGGCCTAAATAAAGGCTCCATAAACAACCTTTAGCCGATTTACTTTTCGCTTTTTCACATTACGCCTACGTTGGCCCCGCTCATCGGAGATACGTCACTTTAAAGCTATCTACCTAGATCAACACGATATATATATTTGTTCTTAGGTCCAACATGTTATCAGGCGAATGTTGTCCGAGCGACGGTGCATTGTCAGAACAGTAGTAAAATATTACACAATAGATGTCTTTAGAGCATTCTGCCACCTCCGGACAGTCCCATCGATCATAATATTTAACACCAAAAATAGACCAAGAGGACATGGGGATAGCGTAGCCATCATTGGGTGCATGACTGGGTAAATATGAGGCCTTTTAGGTGTAACGATGAAAATGAGGCTTGAAAATTGTTTTCGTATAGTTGTCGTTTATGCAGTAAATCCAAATATAAATGCTGGATAACGTGACTGCTAGCGTTCGTACACATTCCACATATGCAAGTGGAAAATTATGAAGGGTCGCGAAGGGTGCCAGGGATACGAACTTGCCACCTAGGTACTGAGTACACGAGGTACTAGATGAGTTGTATTTAGGCAGAAACGGAAGCGACTTCCACTGCGTTGTCGATCAGTTCACGGTCTATAAAGAAGGCCGATTGATTGACTGGTATTTGTCTAATAGGGAAGATGGCCTTCATGAACTTGTTTGTCATGCAGCTCGCCAAGCCTGTGCGCGCCAAGGTGACCCGATGCAAGCAACATTATTATTCATACCTAACGCGCTCCCCACCCATAAATCATAATAGAAGCCGGCAGGCCGAATCGATCATTTATTGTATGTCAAGTGGAATCTCGCTCGATGCGATCATTCTATATTACCTATGGCTTTATAACGCCATCAGCTACCAAAACTTGGCATCTGTGGTTGTCCACTAAGCAGACTTCCTGTCTAGCACGCGCAAGTGTTTTTTCTTATATACTGTTTCGAATAGATTGATGGGTTGAATAAGTTTCTGCGAAACTTTTCCAGCCCGCTACTTCCCCACCTGACATTACAGCGTTCCCAAAAAATCACGCCATTTGGCAATATGGCGTCGATTACCAGGGTGATCTAATCTGTATAGATCTAAAGGGAATAGATATTTCTTTTTGAGCACGGTTGATCTTACTGCCTCGGCTGCACATTGCTCCTGGGCAATTTAGCGCTGACTCAAAAAGCTGTAGCGCAGAATTAATGTACTCTAACATTCGTTGAGTGAATGAGACTGGCCGAAGCATGCCAATCGAAGTAATACAATGGACCACAACGGCCCGAAATGTATTTACAAAACTTTAGTGAAAGAAACAAATCTGCCTAGTGAGGTTCTGTGAGAGAGATCAAATACCATCATCGTCTGGGCGTGCGCGCCTTCAATCGTCACCTGCAAAAGGACGGAACGATTTCATTGTAGCGAGACCGCCAATTCACTTTTCGATGGAAAGCTTGAGCTATTCTGTTGTACAATTGCCGGCGCAGTGGAGCAGGGAAATTGGTGGCTACCGTTGTTGACGAACGAGTCATAGTACTGAAACATATAGCTGATTTGATTGGTGCACTGCTACGGTTTGCTTCCGGAAACACGATTTGGTAGCTTGGTATAAAAACAAAAAAAAAACGTGTAGGGCCTAAACGATACATCAGCAGTCAAGGTCATGCCGTCACAGACTACGATTTTTATTCGTCGAAACTAGTAAGTAATTTACACTCTCAAAACTTGTACAAGTGCGTTTCTTTCTGTGGCACAGACACTCAATGACGATATCGAAAAAAATGAGTACACAATATTAACACGGGCCAATTAAAGCTATTAAAAAGTTAGTATTGAAACAAATCTTATTAAAAACGGGACTAATCATCGGCCAGACACGATGATCTTCATTCGAGTGAAGCGACTGAGCACATCCTAACAATATGAATCATGATTTCTAAGAAAGTACTTTTGCTTGAACATACTGTCGATCAAATAATGAAAATGCTAGAAATGTTCGAATATCAGTACTCTACAATATCAGTTATTCCAACTCTTGTGTGACTGGAATGAGAAAATAAAGACACCACTACTTCTTCGAAAAATGCCAGCGTCTCTTGCATGATCTATCAGTAGTAGAATGCGAATTTCCCAGTCTAAGAGGCTCAGTCGTGGAGTTAAATGGTCGGCCTCCATGAATAAATTAAGCCGCCTATTGAATCTACTAGGTACTGGATTTACTAGGTAGGTAGGTAGGTAGGTAGGTAAGAACAGGGAGCGTGAATATTGCGTCAACGACCAGAGTTTGCATCACTAATCTCTCAGCTATACACATGTAGTTAATCCTAAATGGCCCTGCCTAACATTTCGTATGTATTTCGCCGTGCTTTTTTTTCCTTTAGACCTTTCCTATGTTTCTAAGTGGCAACAAGTCTGCCAGACACGTGTTCGGTGCATATGCAGAAACGTGAATTTCGTGGTAATAAAACTGCCTGAACGTATATCGGTCTGTAAATAACATCCCTGTTAACTGGTAAATGTCAGACAAATTTTAACAAAACAAAGTTCGAAAATATCTTCTGCTTTTGCCATCGACAGCAGCAGGAGGTAATCAATCGGTGACTGATCGTCAAACATTGACATTTGACTGACAACAAATCTACTGATACCGAGATATTGGACAGTAAAGATAATAGCAAACCAATTTCCAAGACCAGTTCTCTACTTTTTTAGACAGATTCGCAAAGGCAGCTATATGGACAATGCGCCTACAGATCACGCTCGCCGATCACACCCATACACCTACTTTAGCTAGATTCGATTGCGTAACTAAGTAAAATATCTCTGCAAGCCGACCTGAACATGCATCAAGTAGCGTGAAAAATTAAAGTAGATTATGCTACTAGATAAAAAATTATGCTGTGAAAAAGAATTATATTGAAATCTTTGAAATTAAGGTTGCCCTGCTTCGTCCGGAATCGGCGCTTGTTCGAATTTTGTGCTAGTGAATGGGTGTGTGTGTGTGTGTGTGTGTGTGTGTGTGTGTGTATGCGTTTTAACTTTGGTATGAGCGGACGTTTTCTGTGCCGTCCGTGTAACAGTTCGATAGCTCTAATTTTACACAACTTC